AACAGTACTGTCAGCATCAGCAGCAGGGGCAGTAGAGGCGCCAGACGTGAGATCAAACAGTGAGAGGCCATCCTTGCTATCGCACTGAAGGAAAAGCTGCAGATCATCTAGCCAGACCTCAAAGTCAACAGCTCGACCCTCAGCATCAAAGGTAAGAACATTGAGACTAGCCATGACAGGAGCAGCAGCAGGCTAGCAGCAGCAGCAGTGCAACTCGGCAGGGCAGGCTAGGCAGGGCGGCGCGGCTCGGCAGCGCGGCGCTCTTACCAGTGGCGAGGCCGGGGCAGGGCCGGGGCAGGGCCGAGGCAGAGCCGGGGCAGGGCCGGGGCAGGGGGCAGGGCCGGGGCAGGGGGCAGGGCCGGGGCAGGGCCGAGGCAGGATGCAGGGCCGGGGCAGGGGGCAGGGCCGGGGCAGGGCCGAGGCAGGATGCAGGGCCGGGGCAGGGGGCAGGGCCGAGGCAGAGCCGGGGCAGGGCCGGGGCAGGGGGCAGGGCCGGGGCAGGGCCGAGGCAGGATGCAGGGCCGGGGCAGGGCCGGGGCAGGGCCGGGGCAGGGCCGGGGTAGGGCCGGGGCAGGGCCGGGGCAGGGCCGGGGCAGGATGCAGGGCCGGGGCAGGGCCGGGGCAGGGCCGGGGCAGGGCCGAGGCAGGGCCGGGGCAGGATGCAGGGCCGGGGCAGGGCCGGGGCAGGGCCGGGGCAGGGCCGGGGCAGGGCCGGGGCAGGGCTTGGGCAGGGCCGGGGCAGGGTCGGAGCAGGGCCGGGACAGGGCCGGGGCCGGGCCGCGGCAGTGCAGGAGCAGGGCCGGGGCAGGGCTGAGACAGGGTCGGGGCGAGGGCCGGGGCAGAGCTGCGACAGGGCCGCAGCAGGGCCGGCTGGGCCTGAAGGGGCCTCTAACGGGGCCTGACGGGGCCGTACGGGGCCTCTAACGGGGCCTTACGGGGCCTCTAACGGGGCCTGACGGGGCCGTACGGGGCCTTAAACGGGGCCAAACGGGGCCTGACGGGGCCTTACGGGGCCTCTAACGGGGCCTGACGGGGCCGTACGGGGCCTCTAACGGGGCCTGACGGGGCCTTACGGGGCCTCTAACGGGGCCTTAAACGGGGCCAAACGGGGCCTGACGGGGCCTTACGGGGCCTCTAACGGGGCCTGACGGGGCCGTACGGGGCCTCTAACGGGGCCTGACGGGGCCGTACGGGGCCTCTAACGGGGCCTGACGGGGCCGTACGGGGCCTCTAACGGGGCCGGACGGGGCCTTACGGGGCCTTAAATAGGGCCAAACGGGGCCTTACGGGGCCTTACGGGGCCGTACGGGGCCTTAAAAGGGGCCGTAAACGGGGCCTTACTGGGCCTTACGGGGCCTTACGGGGCCTAACGGGGCCTTACGGGGCCTTAAACGGGGCCGTAAACGGGGCATTAAGGGGCCTAACGGGGCCTTACGGGGCCTTACGTAGCGGGCGCTGGCTCTGAGGGCAGGCGCAGGGGCCGCGACGGGCCTCGAAGGGAAGGCGCGACGCGCGCGTCAAGTAGGCAGTGAAGAATTTCAGTGGTGGGCCCTTTTTAAAAAATCTCGAAACTAGCTCTATACCATGTGAGAATGATAGACGAAAGAATGAATGAACTAGAAATGAGATGGGTACAAGTAGGAAACACATAAGTGTTGTACCCTCTAAGAGCTACCCCACTACAGCCTAAATAGACCATAGCAGATATAAGTTTGACAAACCCGTTACTGCAGCTGCAGCTGTTGTGGCTGCTGATGCCGCTGTTGCTGCGGCTTCTGCCGATGATGCCGCTGCTGTGGTTGTGTGTACGGACTGATTGCTCAGTGGCATGCCGTACATTGGTTGTTGCTGATATTGTTGCTGCTGCATATGAAAATTGTCAGCAGTTGGAGACGCTGTTGGGCGTGATGGGCTCGTAACAGAAGAGCCGTTGTTGGATCGTGGAGAGCCAGACATAGTTGCAGAGTATGTAGTTGGTGTCAGAATATGTTGTTTGTGTAGCCTGCTGTGGGGTACTCTATAGTGAGTACAGCCCCTTAGGGTTTGCTATTTGTATCCTGCTGCTTGCTAGTTCAATCATTCCTTCTCAATTCTGTTCCTGCACACAATCCTAGCTCGTACTTGGCTCCTCGTTACTAGTCCTACTGTGGCCTAGGCTACTAAGCCTAGGCCGTACTCCTACTTCTTCTGATATGGTATCAGAGGGCGGCATGTCTGCCGCCTTCCTGTGTATGGGCCCACCACCCGCTTCCGCTGCCGTTCTGTCCGCCGCGCGCCCCGTGGTGCGCGGCGGCGAAACCCTAATTTCTGCCCGCCGCGCGCTCGGGGCGCCTGGCGGTTTTCCCTTCCGTGGCGCCCGTCGTGGTGCCCTTGGGGGGGCCTCCGCGGTCCCCTCCCGTCGAAGCGCCCGTCGAGGCGCTCTCGGGGACCCGCGCGGCCTCCCCTCCCGTCGCCCGTCGAGGCGACCTCGGGGACCCGCGCGGCCTCCCCTCCCGTCGCCCGTCGTGGCGACCACGGGGGCCGCGCGCGGTCCCCTCCCGTCGCCCGTCAAGGCGACTTCGGGGGCCGTGCGCGGCCCTCCCCGTCGCCCGTCGAGGCGACTTCGGGGGGCCCGCGCGGCGCCCTCCCCGTCGCCCGTCGAGGCGACTTCGGGGGGCCCGCGCGGCACCCTCCCCGTCGCCCGTCGAGGCGGCTCTGGGGGCTCGTCGCGGCGCCCTCCCTGGTGCCCGTCGCGGCGCCCCGGGGGGGGCCGCGCGGCTCCCTTCTCGTCGCCCCTCGGGGCGCCCTGGGGGCCGTGCGTTTCCCCCCCCCCCTCTTCTGCCTTTCAACTGCGGCGGCCGCCCCTGGAGCCGCCCGCCACTGCAGCAGCAGCCCCTGGAGCCGCCCGCCACTGCAGCAGCAGCCCCTGGAGCCGCCCGCCACTGCAGCAGCCGCCCCTGGAGCAGCCCGCACCTGCAGCAGCCGCCCCTGGAGCAGCCCGCACCTGCAGCAGCCGCCCCTGGAGCAGCCCGCACCTGCAGCAGCCGCCCCAGGACCCGCGCGAGCCACCTCTGCAGAAGCCCGCCCCGTTCCCCCCCCCCCCCCCCCCCCCCCCGTGCTGCCCATTGCTCCCATTCCACCGTGCGTTCCGCGGTGGCTGGGGTGTGGGGTGGCGAGCATGGGGGTGAGAGGTGTGGGTTCTCCCCTCCTCCTTTTTCGTCTCCCACTGCTGCAGCTGCCGCTGAGGGGGGTGGAGGTGTGGGAGTCGTGGGGAGTGGCACTAGGGGGGTGATGTGGGAGTGGAGCTAGGGGTGAAGCAGGGGGTGTGTGAGAGGGGTGTGGGACTGTTGGGGGAGGTTGAGTGGAGGCTGCTGTCTTGTCGTCCGCAGCACCTGTAGTCCGGGGCGCACTGTCCTGGTAGCTCAGAGAGCCTGCTGCACCTGTTGCCCGTGGGTCCGTTGCTCCTGCCGCTCGTCGCAGCCGCAGAGCCTGTTACTCCTGTATTCCGGGACGCACTGTCTCGGTAGCCACTGAGAGCCTGCTGCACCAGTCGCCCGTGGGTCCGTTGCTTCTGCCGCTCGTCGTAGCCGCAGAGCCAGTTACTCCAGTATTCCGGGGCGCTCTGTCTCGGTAGCCACTGTGTCAGCCGCCACTGTGTCAGCCGCTTCTGTTGCCCGTGTGTCTGCAGCTTCAGTCGTCGCCTCCCATCTTCTCTCCTTTCATAGTCCCTCCTCCTCCTCACTTGCCCTCTGTGATAGCCTCTAGCTTTGTTGATAATTATGAACTATTGCTATGACTGCTCATTGTGCTGATTACACCCCACTTTGGCTATGGGGGTGTGTCAGAATATGTTGTTTGTGTAGCCTGCAGTGGGGTACTCTATAGTGAGTACAGCCCCTTAGGGTTTGCTATTTGTATCCTGCTGCTTGCTAGTTCAATCATTCCTTCTCAATTCTGTTCCTGCACACAATCCTAGCTCGTACTTGGCTCCTCGTTACTAGTCCTACTGTGGCCTAGGCTACTAAGCCTAGGCCGTACTCCTACTTCTTCTAATAGTTGGAAGCTTGTAGAATCCTAAGACGCTCGCAATACCATGTTAGAATTTGAAGTGATTGAGTAGGATCGTATACTTAGGATGGTAGCTTCCTGTTGTAGCGGAAGTCTTTGTATGAGTTAAAGCCAGTGTAGGAGGCTTTGTCTGGACTAATGTAAGCCCATGTAATGATATGTTTCAGGATCTATGTCTCTGAAATCAGATATATTATAAAATGACAAACATATAGAATATATAGCTAGAGTAAAGTACCTATTCGCATACTGTACTGTGCTATTCACGCTATTCGTGTTCTGAAACGGTACGTGACTATTTGCGAGGCCTATAGCTACGTGCTGGCGTCATCCTAGGGCGCGTAGCGCTTTGCTGGCGTCAGCCTATCGGTACTTTACTATTACGTGCGAAGTCTCGCACTGTACTAATTGTACTACACGAATTCCTTGAAGTGCTTAAGTCTCGATATTATCTCAACACCATACCCCCCCCCCCCCCACTTCCCCCACCCCCCCTTTCCCGTAACCCGGGATTCCCGATTGCCAACTGTCGAAACCTGAATTTCAGCCTGCTGAAGTAACTGAGGACGAGCAACACCCATGTGGCATGTATGATTATCTATTTATTTATTTTTGTGTGCAACGATAATATCAATTCATCGGGGTTTGCTAAACTGGTACACCGATGCCACAGGGTTGGATTTTCAAAAACAATAAAAACACTGATGGATCAGGGTTTGAAGCAGGGCTGACGTTTCACTTTAGGGCTCCCTGATGCCGCAAAAATTTGTTTCCCTCGATTATGAGTGCACATTGTTCAGGAGATTGTCACCCTGATAGCTCAGGGTTCAACAACTAGTCACTCTGATGAGTCAGGGTCGACAGCCTAAATTCAGGGTTGTGTTTCACATTTTACTAGGGTGATTACTGCAATGTACAGCCTGTAACGAATTTCCTCCTACATCTACTCTACTCTAGTGCACAGGCCTATCGATGTGGAACACTTCCTCCACATCCTCATCGTCCGAAAGGAAGGGATTGTCCTCCTCCTCCTCCCCCACAAGCTCCTGATCGTCGCCCAGGGCCTGTTCCACATCCACCTCCTCCTCCTCGTCCTCGTCCCCATCGTTTTGGTGGGCAGCTCCTGCTTCGACTTCACCCTCCTTTGCTTTCCCCCTCCTTTCGCGATCAGCCACAGCAAGCTTCACGCTCTTTGCGGGGCGCCTCCTCCTCATAGACCTCCAGACCTCCAGGACGTCCGGCCACTCGATGTCGTAATTCAGGAGCGAAATCTGCATCAGCTCCCCCAGCCGCGCGTTGCAGAGAGCGCCGCGCACCCAAGACTTGATCACATTTTGCCTCGAGAATCCTCTCTCGCACTCCACAGTTGACAGGGGGAGCACCGCGATCGCCTGCCACAGGAGGACGAGGTTGGGCCACCTCCTGCCAGGCACATTGTCGGAGATGGGTGGGAAACAAAGTGACCACATGCACAAAATAGATTAGACTCTCACATGGCATACCATGCTGTCACACTACGGGGACATACCTCTTCGAGTCCGCGCTCCCGAGAATGTTGGTCAGTCCCTGCGTGAAGCTTTCCAGCTCGTGGTGCGCCTCCATGATCGCACAGAATGTGGGAAGCTCCCTCTCTGCGGCCTTCAGGTCGAATCCCGGCAGCTGGTGGCGGAAGAATTTGCTGCATCCCAGAAGCCACTCACGGCACTTCTTCTCCCGTTGTGCCTTGATCTTCGGCCACTTTCCGGCCCGAAACAGCTTCGTCGGCCCCAGCTTCCCCAGGTCATCAAGCCGCTCGTTGAGATTGTCCACGCAATCGCGGGCGAAACTGCGGCACAGCTTCACGCACTCCTCGTATCCGCTCCCCACCTTTTGCCCCGGGAGCTTCCGCTCGTGCATGGTGTACAGATGGTTCACTGGGCGTCCCTCCCCGTCCACGCCTCTCACACGGACCTTCTTGCCTCCACCATGCCCGTGCAGCTTCAGAAAGCCGACCAGCCAGCACTTGCCCTCGCCACCGAACTGCTTGTCGGTATCCAAATACCGCTCAGTCAGATCCGCCGTGGTGGCCTCGATGGTCTTCGCAATCTCCGTCACATCAATCTGTAAGGGCACAGTCATACAGGACATGTCATTTTACATCCAACACTCGAGAAATTGGAGACACTAGCAGAGGCGTGTTCGTGGAAGATTAAACAAACTCACATCTCGCTTCTGGAAACAGCGGTTGAGGTCGTTCATGTCGGCGAGGATGTCGGCGAGGAAGAACAGGCAAAACTGGAACTTGTAGCACGTGACGATCTCGTACACCTTGTGACTCCGCTCCCAGAGAAGAACGATACACGCACCGAGCACCTTGCACAGCCGTCGCACCGCATCTCTGTCAGAATGTTATTATTGTCTAGCCTGCAGTGGGGTACTCTATAGCGAGTACAACCCGATTAGGGTTTCCTATATGTATGCCAACTGCTGCTAGTGCAAACCCTCCTTTCTTCATTCTTACTTTCTACTGCTAGTTCTGAAATGCTATCAGAGCAGGTCGACCCCCTTGGGTCGATCCTGTGGGTGGGCCCACCACCTAATGCTTCCGCTGCTCTACTGCTGTCGCGCGCCCCGGGCGCGCTACCCTTTCTTCCTGCCGGGGGGCGCGCGGCCCTTTTTCTTCCTGGCGAGGCGCGCGCGCCCCCCCCCCGTCCGTCCGTTGTGCTGCCCTGGCGAGGCGCGCGCGGCCCCCGCCCGTCCGTCGTGGCGCCCTGGGGGGCAGCGCGCGCTCCCCGCCCGTCCGTCGTGGCGCCTTGGGGGCAGCGCGCTCGGCCCCCGCCCGTCCGTCGTCGCGGCCCCTGCTGGTCCGTTGCGGCGCCCTGGCTAGGAGCTCGCAACCCCTTCCTGTCCCGTCCCCCCCCCCCCCGTGCTGCCCATTACTCTCGTGCCGCCGTGCGTTCTGCGGTGGTGGGGGGGTGGGGTGGCGAGCATGGGGGTGCGCGGTGTGGGTGCTCCCCTTCCCTTTCCCCTCCTCCTTGTTCGTCTCCCACTGCTGCAGCTGCTGCTGAGGGGGGTGGAGGTGTGGGAGCCGCGGGGAGTGGAGCTAGGGGGGTGACGTGGGAGTGGAGCTAGAGGTGAAGCAGGGGGTGTGTGTCAAGGGGGGTGGGACTGTTTGGGGAGGCTGAGTGGAGGCTGCCGTCTTGTCGTCCGCAGCACCTGTAGTCCGGGGCGCTGTCCTGGTAGCCCAGAGAGCCTGCTGCGCCTGTCGCCCGTGGGTCCGTTGCTCCTGTAGCTCCTCATAGCCCGTGAGCCAGTTACTCCAGTAGTCCGGGGCGCTGTCCTGGTAGCCACTGTGCCAGCCGCTCCTGTTGCCCTTGTGTCTGCAGCTTCAGCCGCTGTCTCCCATCTTCTCTCCTCTCACGGTCCCTCCTCCTCCTCACTTGCCCGCTGTGACTACCACTAGCTTTGCTCATAATTGTGAACTACTGCTATGCTTGCTCATTGTGCTGATTACACCCCACTTTGGCTATGGGGGTGTGTCAGAATGTTATTATTGTCTAGCCTGCAGTGGGGTACTCTATAGCGAGTACAACCCGATTAGGGTTTCCTATATGTATGCCAACTGCTGCTAGTGCAAACCCTCCTTTCTTCATTCTTACTTTCTACTGCTAGTTCTGAAAATCTCCACGTGAGAGCCAGCGAACCGTGTGGATCCCCTGGACTTCGAGGTTAGTGTTGTAGATCACACGCTGCAGGTACTTGAACCGTTGGCTCCAGACTGAAGAATCTCCTAGTTTTGCCGCCACGGTGCGCACCACCTTGTCCACCATGCCGAGGTCGGGGTTGGACGTCGCCGCGTCCTTAACAGCCAGCGCCTCCCTGCAATAGACAACGGTAATAATTGTTGAGTAGAAATCAGGCAAGCAACATGAACTGAATGAATAACTGGCACTAAAATTTACCGGTGCGCGATGCAGTGACAGGAAAAGAGATGCGGGGCGTGCTCCCTGATCCGCGCCACCAATCCGTTGTCCTTCCCCGTCATGACCGAAGCCCCGTCCGTACTGATTCCGACAAGCTTCGACATGTCGACGCCTGCGGAGCGCAGATGATTCATGAGCACCTCGAACAGGGACGCAGCATCACACTTCTCCACAGTCAGGAGGGTGAAGAACTCGGTGACGACTCGGCGGTCCATGATGAAGGTCAGGTAAACAATCATGTGTTTACCACGCGTTCGGTCAGTGCTCTCGTCGCATTGCAGGCCCAGGAACGGTGAGGAGTTGATGTGGTCCATCTGCGCATTCGTCAAGTACGTACTGAGGCAGTGAACCATCTGCTGGAAGCCGTACCTGCGCAGAGATGTAGGTCCTTCAGTTAGTCTTTCTGGGGGAAAATATTTCATTACCACGAATTCAATACAGCAAGATTGTAACTAAAATGTCCTACCGAGTGAGATAAACACCGTAAGACTGTCTCGGGATGTCGGGCGTGTCCTGCTCCGCGAGATGCCGCATCAGCCTAGGGTACATGCTTATCGGCGCGTCGCACTTGCACAGAAACACAACCGACCGCAACAGTCGGACGGCGCGCCTGCCCTCGACGTCCGAGTTGATGAAGTTCGAAATCACTTGCTGCCCCTCGCGGATGCCTCTCGCAATCTTCAGCTGCCGGTCAACAGCCGCTTTGTGCGCGTCCGTGTGCTCGTGTGCGCGAAACGCCTGCGTCTGCATGTCACGGCCTCCGTCATCACCCTGCCTCGCGTACCTCGTGTTCTCCTTCCCGTAGGCCATGCAGACACTGCACTTCACATAGGGAAACCCATTCTTGGTTTTTCCGAACACAAGCCAGGAGAACTGTCCCGACCACCTCGTATCGTACATGATGCTGGCCTCCACGAACATCTGCTCCCGCAGCTGCGCCTTGGTGAGGGCGGGCGAGCCGGTGTCCGCGCGGATCGGGAACACATCTTCCTCTGGCGGTGCAGATGCAGCAGGTGGTGGATCAGCCGGAGTGTTCGAATGAGAAAGTCGGCGGCCTCCGACGAGCAGGGTATGCTGCGCCCACTTCCCTGAACGCGCTCTCTTCGGTGTGGAGGTAGCCGACGGAGGACCAACGGACACCCGCACGGTGCTTGGTGTGGGACTTGGCACGGTCGGTTGGGGATCTTTGCTGCAAGAAGCAACAGCCGGGGGTATAGTGAAGGCGGCCTCCCGGGGAGATCTTCAGGTGTGGCCGTGGGCGTGTCTTTAACTGCAGAATCATCTACGGTAGACCTAGGTGGATCCGGTGTTACTGGAGCAGCGGAACCTCTAAGAAAATCAAGCCCCGAGCGTGGCTCCGTGGCTTTCGGCGGTAACGGTGGCTCATCTGAGCCAGCCTGAGGCATTTCCTCGTCAGCCTACTGGCCTTCCATGGCTGGGAGAAGCTAGAGATGGGGAGAGAGAGAAACGGAGAAATGAATTGAAAAAAGGGAACATAACAGCAGCACCAACAAGACCCTGGCTGTGGGAGGGGGGAAGCAAGAGATGGAGGGAGAAGGTGGGGTCAGCAAGAATCCACCGCGTCGCCACGAAATTGATGGCGCGGTGGTCGAAACAACGAGCCGTCATTGTATTCGGCCTTTCATGCAGGCCGAATACATTGAACGACTGCTTCACTGCCAGCGACGACAGCCACTAAGTGTCTCTCTCCAATGAGGGACACGTAATGTGATTTGCGCGGTGCGCGTGGCAGTAAACATGATGATTCTAGGTGCGCTGTCAAATTTGACAGCTGTGCTGCTGTACAAATGACAGTTGTGTTCTGTGTCGGTTCTTGTCACTAGTGCGCGTGAAACGAAGCCCCCACATGGTTAGGTGCGAATCATAATTACCCACATGGGGGGGTATCGGAACGAAGCTTCTACGAAGCTTCGTTCAGATAACATGACTTTCAGGGTCCACAGGTCGCATACTCTGTATTGACAGGGTCCATGAAAACACTACACTGAGAGTGTATTGAGAATTTCAGGCTCCGCTAAATCAATACTCTGAATGGATCAGGGACCAAAATGTGAAAAACCTGATTTCACAGGGATCACAAGGTGAGAAGCCTGAAATCACCCTGAAATCAGGGTAATTACCCTGATAAAATCAGCCCTGGTTTGAAGGTGTCACATTGATAATCAAGTTTTTGAACAGGTGCAACACTGATCACAAGGGTTGCTCAAAACCAAAAATTAGCCCTGTACTGCATGCATCGATTGCTACTGTCAGGAGTGCAGAGTAATGTTTCACCTTTTACTATTCGTAACACCATTCACTCATAGAGCAGCAAATTTGTCAAAACTAAAAAAACAAATATTGTAGATGTTTTCATCTGTATGCCTAATAGACTATTTGCACGAATAAAAACTATATATTTGCACCTATGCAAACTAATTTTCTTGGACAGTAGAATATTCGATACTATAGATGCCAGGTATACGTATAGATATGCATTTGCATCTGTTTGTATGTCACATGTCAGTGGATGCAATTGTGTATGTATGTAGGTAACTATTTATGGATTTGATTGCAGCGAAAATAATAGCCTTCGAGAACATCTCGCTGCTACAAACACAATCAATCGCCACGCCACCACCTCCTTTGTTGCTTCCTCTTGCTGCCACGAGCTGTCTTTCTGTTTGTCCCAGTCCGTCCTCTACCTCTCACCTTCCTTTCCTTTCTCCACACCATGGCCGTGTTGTCTGAAATCGAAGATCCGCCGCAGCCGCCGCAACCAGCGGCGGCGGGGCCAGGTTCGGGCGATAGTAGCTCTCGAGCGCGCGAAGCTGGCGAAAATTGTAACAGTTCGGACGAGTTTCCGTACGACGGCTCGCTGCTGTCTCTGCTCAGGCAGCACGACGATCGGCCGTTGGATCTGCTCCGGACGGTCGTTGGATTCTTGCGACGAAAGTCGAATCTCTTCGCAGACGCGGTGCGCTAGTCGTGTACATCTTCCCTTGCTGCTTCTTTCATTGCGCTATTTCTACAGGTGACAAAATTCGTACGGCCGATCTTTGCTAATCCAGTCACTCTCACTCTCAAACCCTTCGATCCTAACCGAATTTCCTCGAACCTCTTCTCCGTCCCATCATTTAGTCGCCCTAGAAAGTATCTTCTCGGTCCCACCTTCCCACCGTCCGAGGAATCTTCCCTTGATGTAATTTTCTCTCGTTATTTCTTTCCTTGTCACACTCCCTGCCGACCCGCCCCCGTGCCAAAGCAGCGATCGGAGACTGAAGCAGGGAAGCTGATTCACTCGGCGCGAGTACAGTTCGAGAGAGAGAGGCGAGACCGCGAGCAGCAGAGAGAGCAGGAGAAGGCGGAAACAGAGAGATTAGAAAAGGAACGAGAGAAGGAGAGAATAGAATCAGAGAGGGAAGAGCAGGAGAGGAGAGAGAGACAGCAGGCGGCAGGAAAGGGGAAGGAGAAGGTAGCTGTTGGGAGTGGTGCGGAGGGGCAGGACGGTGCGTCTGCGATGGAGATTAGCGAAGGGGAAGGGAAGGAGATGGAGGAGGATGGAGAAGAGCCGGTGGCGAGCGGGAAACTGAGTGAGTTGTGCGATTTTTTTCTTGAATGTCTTAGCACTAATTTGCTGCTGAAGGGTGATTTCTGAGTCGACTTTAGAGTCGACTGCAGGGAAGGAGATGGAGAACGGATGGGGGGAGGAACCAGTAGCGTTTGGAAAACTGAGTGTATGCTTCCTGTGCCTCCATGCCACCCATCCCTCCCATGCCTTGCATGGCTTGTGATTGAGTGTATTCGTCGCATCCTAGTGCGAGACGGTTCCTGGTGGGTGCGGCATGTGGTTCTCTATGCCTGAGGAGTCATCAAGTACTGAACCTCAGTAAAAACCCTGAACCTCCGTAAAAACCCTGAACCTCAGTAAAAAACCTTAACCTCAGTAAAAACCCTGAACAAGGGTAAAAACCTTGAACCTTGGTCAATAAAAACCCCTTCCCCTTCCCCCTTTCCACTCCTTCACGCCCTTTTGAGAACCATCCTCGGGCAAGGGGGCGGACCTAGGAGGACACTCCTTCACTTCACACAGACTTTGAGGGAACTGAGTGTGGCGATTCTTGTTCCTGCCCTTCCTCTTCCCCTTTCCCCTCATTCACTCTCCGCAGAGCCATCCCCAGGCAACGGAGCGGACCTAGGGCGATACTCCTTCTCACAGACTCTGAGGAGTTGAGTGCAACTCCCCCCTCCCTCCCTCCCATCCCACTTGCCTCTGCTCCTCCTCTTGCTTTACCAGAGCCGTCCCCGGGCGACGGAGCAGACCTGGGGTGATACTCCTTCTCATAGACTCTGGCCGAGCTGAATTCAACTCTCTCTTTCCTCCCCTTCCCTCCGTTCCCCCTCAATCACTCCCCAATAGAACCCACCTTGGGCAACGGAGCAGACCTGGGGTGATACTCCTCACAGACCTTAGGGGAGCTGAGTGTAGCCTTGTTTTCTCCTCTTCCCCTTCCCTCTGCTCCTACTCTTGCTCCCATCAGAACCAACCTTGGGCAACGGAGCGGACCTGGGGCGATACTCCTTCTCACAGACTCTGGGGGAATTGAATCTGGCGATTCCCCTGCCTGCGGGCACCAAGGCACGGGGAGTGACAGTGGAGATCAAGAAGACGAGGCTGGTGGCTGGGTTGAAGGGGCAGGCGCCTGTGCTAGAGGTGAGTCTGCGAGGATGAGGAAAGGGTGAGTGCCTTGGTGAATGTAGTAGAAGGATGCGCTAAGTGTGGCCATTCCCCTCCCTGCCTGCGGGCACCAAGGCGCGGGGAGTGACAGTGGAGATCAAGAAAACAAAGCTGGTGGCTGGGTTGAAAGGGCAGGCGCCAGTGCTAGAGGTGAGGATGGTAGAATGATATGACGTACTTAAGGGAGGGTATTAGAGGGATCGGCTTGGTGAGGTGAGGGGATCGCATCGCATGTGGGTTGGCTTGGACGTTTAGGTAGTAGATGCTTGATGGCCGTTGAGAATTCTCAAAAAGTGACACAAACAAATTTAGGTATTAATTGCTGGATGAGTGACTGCTTATCCCCTCCCTCCCTCCCTCCCTCCCTCCCTCCCTCCCTCCCTCCCTCCCTCCCTCCCTCCCTCCCTCCCTCCCTCCCTCCCTCCCTCCCTCCCTCCCTCCCTCCCTCCCTCCCTACCTCTCCTTTCCCCCCTCCCTCCCTTCCTCCCTCTTCCTCCCTTCCTCCCTCCCTTCCTCAATCCCCCTCTTCCCCCTCCCCCGCCCCTCTGTTTCTTACCAGGGCGAGCTGTGGGCGCCAGTCAAGGTGGATGACAGCATTTGGAGTATCGGTAAGCACTCACTAAGTCTCTTCCCAACCTAAACCCTTTCTGAGGCGCCTTAAGTGTAGCCTCTGGGCGCCAGTCAAGGTGGATGACGGCATTTGGAGTATCGGTAAGCACTCACTAAGTCTCTTCCCACCCTAAACCCTTTCTGAGGCGCCTCAAGTGTAGCCTCTGGGCGCCAGTCAAGGTGGATGACGGCATTTGGAGTATCGGTAAGCACTCACTAAGTCTCTTCCCACCCTAAACCCTTTCTGAGGCGCCTCAAGTGTAGCCTCTGGGCGCCAGTCAAGGTGGATGACAGCATTTGGAGCATTGGTAAGCTCTCTCCGCCCAACCAAACTCTTTTTGAGGTGTCTCAAAACTCTCCTCCCCACCAAACCTCCTACTCCCCCCCCTCCTTTTAGGCCCTTAAAAAACGGATCGTTTGTAAGTCCTCTCTCTCCTCTTCACCAAACCTCCTACTCTTCCCCCCCTTGCTCCCCATCCCCCCCTTCCTGTCTCTCTTTCGCGGCATCCTTCCCTCGCCCCCCTAACCTCTGCTGTTTGATGAAGCAAAGCATGGTCGAGTTTATAGGGTGTACTGAACGTTTACCCTAGGGTTACCCCGCCTTGTGCTTCCTCCACTTTCCTTCTCTCGCTTTCTCTCCACTTCCCTTCTCTCCCCTTCTGTCCCCTTCTCTCCCCTTCTCTCCCCTTCTTTCCCTTCTCACTCCTTTTCTTCCCTTCTCTCTCCCTCTCTTCTCTTCTGCCTCCTACCCTCCTTTCTTCCTCCCCTTTACCTCCAGAGGACAACCCTGGGGGCGGTCGCACCCTCTCCATTCTCCTCACCAAGATCAATCACATGGAGTGGTGGAGTGCGGTGGTGAGGGGCGAGCCGGAGATCGACACTCAGAAGGTGGAACCCGAAAATAGCAAGCTGGGCGACCTTGATGCTGAAACGAGGCAGACTGTAGAGAAGATGATGGTGAGAGGTCATGGGGTTGAGTGCGTGTGTGGGGGAGAGGTAGGGGAGTGAGGGAGTGAGGAGCAGAGGCGGCTGTGAGGCAGAGTGTAGCAAGCTGGGCGACTTAGATGCTGAAACGAGGCAGACTGTAGAGAAGATGATGGTGAGGAGAAATAGTGGGGATGGTAACAGGGGTGGGAGTTGGTGCATGTGTTTTAAGTCAACTCAAAACTTGGTGCATGTGTTTTAAGTCAACTCAGAACTTGGTGCACGTGTTTTAAGTCAACTCAAAACTTGGTGCACGTGCATGTGTGTGTCGGAAGAGCAATCTGGGGATGCCCAATTTAGGTAGACTGTAGATGGGTTGACCAAACGATGCGACCCCGTTTTACCTTCTGAGAAATTTCCCTGTTGTTCTGGTGCTCACTGCTCTTGCCCACTCCCCCTTTTCTCCCTCCCCCTTCCCCCTCACTCCCTTCCCCCACTCCCCTGTTCACTCTTTGCTCCCCACTGACCCTCACAGTATGACCAGCGGCAACGCCAGATGGGGTTACCAACGAGTGAGGAGCAGCAGAAGCAGGACATTCTCAAGAAGTTCATGGCTCAGGTGGGTGGTCTCCGGGGCTCTGGTGGGGGTTTTCTTGGGCTCATGTGGGTTCTCAGTTGGGCTTTTTTTAGGCTCTGGTGGGTGCTACCTGTGTTCAAGTTTCCCAAGGAGCGTCTGGATTCTTTCAACCTGCTCTTGTCGTTCCGCCCGTTCCTTCCCTCGCTTGCCTTTCCACTATGACATCCTCCTTTCTCTCTCACCCTTTTTCTCACTCTCTCTCTCTCATCCCCGGTTTCACCCTCTCACTCACCCACTCTCTCTCTCGGTCTCACCCCCCTCCCTGTGTGCAGCACCCGGAAATGGACTTTTCCAATGCCAAGTTCTCCATGTGAGCACGAGGCCCACTGAAAAGCGTGCTTGTTCAGTCACTGGACTCTACTCTGCTTTTAAGTCGACTCAAGAGATCACTCGACTTGACTGCGTGAGCGAGGAACAAACAGAGTCGCGTTGAGTCGACTCAACTCTGCGCACAAGAAAGTAGCAGAGAAAGGGCTAGTTCAAGAAAGTAGCAGTCAGCCTACAGGGTGTACGGTCTGGAAAGGGCCAGTAGGAGGAAAAGTCTGAGAGGAGGGCTTTCGAGTTAGGAAATTACATTCTGCATGAAGCAGTGAAGCGGTGTGTTGAGAAAGCTTAGGAAGGGAGTTAAGACACAAAGGCTGCAAACCCATGCTGACCAGAGCTTCTGATCTGATGCTTCATAACTCGACTACACGTACCGGTAAGGTTCAAGATGGTGTGCAGTGCATGCGTAGAGCTACCTGGTTGCGGTAAGGCTTTTGTATGTCAAGGAAAAGGAAACCGGTGTGTCATTCCCAGCAAGTTGGTCAGCGAGCTACAGTTTATGAAGTGTCACTGTACACATGCTGTTCTTCTTTCAAAATTGAGTTAGCACTGACAGCAGTAGGCAGCAGGTTGAGGAACGGGAGTACGAGCAAAGAGGAGAAGTTGCAGATGGCGATGAGGGTGGGCAGGTTGGTGAAATCCGAGCTGGTCACTCCCAGCCAAGATCAGCCCCAGCGCCCCGTTCCCATCACCCCCCCATAGGCACATAACACAGTTGCACTCCAGACACAGCGCCCCGTTCCCATCTCCCCGTTCTGATTTAAACAATCAGTTACAGTACATGAATTGTTACTGTACAAGTGCTATTCCTCTTCGGAGTCGGAGTTTGCACGGACGGTAGCAGGAAGAAGATTCAGAAAGGGGAGCACGAGCAGAGAGAAGTTACAGATGGCGATGCGGGTGGGCAGGTTGGTGAAATTGTGCTCGTCACTCCCCCAACGGCACAAGGCACAGTCAATGCTTTTTGGAACAAAAATCGGCTACAGTACATGACACATTACTGTACAGGTGCTACTGTTCCTCTTCCGAGTCTGAGTTTGCGCTGACAGCAGCAGGCAGCAGGTTGAGAAAGGGGAGCACGAGCAGAGAGGAGAAGTTGCAGATGGCGATGAGGGTGGGCAGGTTGGTGAAATCCGAGCTGGTCACTCCCAGCCAGTTGGTCAGCCCAGCGCCCATCACCCCCCCAAAGACGCTCGCCCCATTGCTGACAGACATGAGCGTGGCAAAGAGAGTGGCTTCGATGCCGGGTGGACACACTCGAGCAGCGAGCACCAGCACTGGCATGAAGGAAATCTGGAGGGAGGGAACGGGGGGAAAGGGAATGGTCAACATACGTGTGGCGAAGAGAGTGGCTTCTATGCCGGGTGGACACACTCGAGCAGCGAGCTGCGAGCACCAGCACTGGCATGAAGGAAATCTGGAGGGGGAGGAGAGTTTGTCGAGAGTAAAGGGAAAAAGTTGGTGCACTATCGAGAAAGTTGGGTAGAAGTAACAAAAAACTATACCCTACATTAGCTACCCCACTAAAGCCTACATTCTATTATGACATAGGCATATAATTTGATACACCTCCATAGGCAAAATGGGGGAGAGTAAGGGGTCACAAGACCAGTCAAGTAAAGCAAAGCAAGCTCAGGGGGGATCACAACGTCACCATACACACTGAGCACAAGCAAAGGGCCACAAGGCCAGTCCACGTGCAGAGGTATATATGCAACAACAATAGTACAGTGATCTCTACTTAGCAGAGCAAGCATGCAGGAATATATATAGATCACAGTATATGCAATGTCTACAGCAAGTGAGAAAAAGTGGGCACAAGGCCTAACAAAGTGCAGAAACGCTGATGATCACCAGACGGAAGTGCCTTGGTGAATATATCAGCAGTGTTGGCCCGAGTGGCCACGTGTGCAAGACGAAGCTGACCACGCTGCTGCAACTCTCGAGCCAAGAAGTAACGCAGAGCGATGTGCTTCGTTCTGTGCTCCTGACACAAGGCAATGGCGGCCTTGTTGTCGACGTACAGCACTGGAGGAGAACGAGGCCGCTCTCCCAAGTCGGTCAGCAGGTAGGTGAGCCAGCGTAACTCCTGTGCAGCCATGGCTGTGGCGTAGATCTCAGCCTCACAACTGGAGCTGAGAACTGAAGACGAGCGTGTAGAACGCCAAGAAACTGAACCAGAGCCAAGGCTGAAGGTGTAACCCTGTGACGACCGCTGCGTAGCCTGGTCGTCAACCCAAGAAGCGTCCGAGTGACCAGTGAGGACAACGTCGCCCCGTCCTCCAAGCACGAGCCCCATGCCCGATGTACTGCACAAGTAGCGCAGTACCCTCTTAGCAGCATCCATGTGCACCTTTCGGTGCCGACCAGGAGCCACGTAGCGAGCCACAACCAAGAGGGTACGCAAGGTCAGGACGAGTGCAGGTCAACAGGTACATGAGGCAGCCCACTAGCTCTGGGTAAGGACCACTCGGCTCTACGGACTCGTCCGAAGGTGGAGCTGAGAGCGAGTGACCTGTAGCCAGAGGAGTGGCCTGTGCTGAGGACCAGGTGAAGCCGAAGCGCTGAAGGACCTGCTGCACCATGTGTGACTGAGTCAGTGTGACGGTGCGGCGTGCTCTGTCCCGGGTGATCTGCAAGCCAAGGTAGCTGCGCAGTTCACCCAGGTCTGTGCACGTGTGTCTCTTCTGCAACTCCGACTTCACCAGGGCGAGAGCCTCAGTGTCAGCAGTGGCAAAGACCAAGTCGTCGACGTACACGAGGATGTAGAACGGCGGCAGCGAAGTGTCGGTGCGCAGAAACAGCGACGGGTCAGCAGTCGACGGAGCAAACCCAAGAGCCGCAAGTGTCGTCCTCAGTGTGTCGTGCCACTCACGTGGCGCCTGGCGGAGACCGTAGACCGGCCGCCGGAGGCTCCACTGGGTACCAGGAGGGAACGGCCCAGTGAAGCCAGGCGGGCGGCGCAGCCAGATCTCCTCGTGCAGACTGCCCTGCAAGAAAGCTGTGCTGAAGTCAAGAGAGTGAAGCTCATAGTCACGCTGAGCGGCAACGTGCAGCAACACCCGAAGAGTGGTCATCTTCGGGGTGGGGGAGAAGGTCTGGAAGAAGTCAACTCCCTCTCGCTGACTGAAATCTCGAGCAACGTAACGAGCCTTGAAGACAGGCGGAGAACCTGGCGGTCGCTTCACCCTGAAAATCCACATGCCACTGACGATGTTCGCCCCAGGCGGGGGAACCTCGTCGACGTAGGTGCCTGTGGACTTCCAGGAAGCGATCTCTGTGTCCATGGCTGTCTGCCACTGAGAGGAGTAGGGACCCTCTATCGCCTCTGCGTAAGAGCGCGGGGTCGGGATGTCTGGAGCATCCGGGTCTCCCTCAGGGGCAAGCAGCATGGACACGAGATGAGGCGCAGCGGCTGCAAGACACTCAAGGTCCTCCTGCCTGTCCTCAAGGACGTCCGTGCCAAGAGCACACTCACCCCCGACGGACGGAGGACAGACAGACTCAGACGCAGCAACAAGACTAGCGGCGTAGTCTAGACGACAGGCAGCAGCAAAGTCAACAAGCTCAGCGACTAAGGCAGACGCAGCAGTAGACTCAAACGACGGGTCAGTGACAACTGTGGCTAGCAGACGCGTGACAGTAGGGTGAGCAGCACGAGCGCGGTCAGACTCAAGCTCAGGAACGGTAGGCAGAGAAGACGCAGGAGGGGACGGCAGGGGAACACTCTGCGGAGGAGAGGAAGGACGACGGACTACAAGGTGGGTGCCGAGGACAGCCGGCTGACACGAACAAGGAACACGACGACCGGAACGACCAGAACGGACAGGCGAGACAGGACGCGACGCAGGCTCACGACGCTCAGTAAGACCCCCTGTCGGCTCAGTGTAAGGAGAAGGAGCAGGCAGCGGTGAGCCAGGCTGTAACGGAAGACCAGTAGACGAAGGGAGACTAAGAACCTGGCGAAGCACAGAGTCAGACGGTGGCTGAGACGACGGAGACGGTGGAGCAAAGAACAGGCGCGGCTGTGCAGTGCTACCAGCACCAGCAGCTCCAGCACCCCCAGCAGTCCCAGCACCTCCAGCAGCTCCAGAACCCTCAGCTCCAACTCCTCCAGGACCAGCTCCACCAGCAGCAGCACCCCCAGAACCGGCACCTCCAGTCCCAGGGTCTCCAGCCTCAGTGTCTCCAGCAGCAGCACCCTCAAGCTCAGCACCTCCAGCCCCAGCAACTCCAGTACCTCCAGTACGAGCACCTCCGGGACCAGCACCACTCCCAGCTCCAGTGACGTCAGCAGAAGTACCTCCAGCGGCAGAGCCCCGAGCTCCAGAAGCGCTACCTTGACGGCGACCGTACCAGTCGTGCAGCTGCTGTGAGGTGAGAGGCACACGCGGACGAAGGCGGCTACTCCAAGGAGACTGTGCAACAGCAGACTCAGAACACTCAGTGCCAGCACCCGCAGCAGCTCCAGAACCTCCAGCGCCAGCACCCTCAGCAGCTCTACAACCTCTAGCTCCAGCACCCTCAGCAGCTCCAGAACCTCCAGCAGAAACAACTCCAGTAGCAGAGTCACCAGCTCCAGCGCCTCCCGCAGCAGGGCCCCTAGCTCCAGCAGTGCGACCCTGACGGCCAACGTACCACTCACGCAGCTGCTGTGGGGAGAGAGGGAGTCGACGACGAGAGTGCAGCGGCGAGGTACCAGCGGAGCGACTACGGAGACGGCCGCTCCAGGGAGACTGCTCACCAGACGCCTCAGCGCCCCCAGGTGCAGCACCCCCAGGCTCACTACCCCCAGGCTCAGCACCCCGAGACTCCTCACGCCCAGGCTCAGCATCCCCAGGCTCAGCACCCCCAGGCTCCGCACCCCCAGGCTCAGCACCCCCAGAAGCAGCACCCCGAGCAGGACCACCCTCAGCAGGACCCGAGTCACCAGTGACCTCAACCGGCGCAGTCAAGGGAGGAGGGTCTACCTGAGACACACCTGAAGGAGCAGGACCGGGAGCGGGGAGGGGGTCTACCTGGGGAGCACCTGGAGCGAGGAAGAGCGGCGGGGGGGGGAGAGGGGCAGTGACGGTAAAAGACGGTAAAAGAGGGTAGGGGAAGAGACGGTAAAAGGGAACCGACTCGTCGAACGTGACGTCCTGAGAGGGGAAAACACGGTGCGAGGTGGGGTGGTAAAACTGCCAACCAGGCGCGTCAGGGACAAAGCCAAGGAAAACACAGGGAACAGTGCGGGCGGAGAGCTTGTCCGCGGTGGTATCGCGGACAAAGGCACGAGCACCCCAGACCCGAAAACGTGACGCATCGCCAACCTTCCCCGTCCACAGCAGTGTGGGCGAGGTCTCCGGCAAGGAGACACGAGGCCAGAGGTTGAGCTGATGCGCGGCGTACCGGACCGCAAACGGCCACAGAAAATGGGGGGCAGCCGCATGGATCATGGAGGTACGAGCGATCTCCATGACTAAGCCAATGCGACGCTCAGCAACCCCATTCTGCTGCGGAGAGGCCGGAAGCGTGAATGTCTGGCAGATGCCGTGCTCCGCACAGAAGGCTGCCAAGAGGTCGGAGGAAAACTCCCCACCTCTGTCAGAGTGCAGACGCAGGACGGGAAACTCCGTCCCGAACCGCTCGCGGAGCTGGAGACGAGCAGCGCGGATCCAAGGGATCAAAACATCAGGGACCTCACCCTTGGTGCGCAAAGGGAAGACCGTGGTGTAACGCGTGTAGTCGTCGACGACCAGCAGGAAGTACCGCTCGTGGCCCTGTCCACGGACGCGGGCTGGGCCTCACACGTCCAGGTGGAGAGTCTGCAAGGGAGCCTCTGTGGGAGGGAACGAGGAGGAGTGAGGAGCGGCGCGCTGCCGCCCCTCGACACAGGGAAGACAGGGAGGAGCAGGCGAGGGTGGGAGGGGAGGGAGAACCCTGGGAAGACCAGAGACAAGGACACGGCGGTGCATGCTACGAAGGCGCTGCACCGAGGGGTGACCAAGGCGGTGGTGCCAAAGGAGGGTCTGGTGCGACAGAGCGCGACACGAGCAGGGGGCCACTAGCTGACCTGACGCAGACGCAGACGCAGCGACCTGAGGGGACACAGTAGTCAGTGTGTACAAACTCGAGCCAGGCGCACGGGTAAACGTGGCCAGGTGCCGGCCCGTCCGGGAGCACGTACAGTGGGTCACGCGCTGACCTCCAGGAGTGAACTGGTCAACCCACTGGTCCTGGAGGTCAGCACCACTCACCAAGTTCGTAAAGAACGAGGGGAGGTGAAGACCTGACAGGGAGCCAGACGGGACCGCCGGACACGGCAGGACCGTGGAGGAGTGCGCAAGGATTGGACCCCCAGAGGGGTCTGCCAGGGAGGCTGGAACCGGCCGGCTGAGCGGCGTGAGGGTGGTGCTGTCGCGAAAGAAGGAGCGGGAAGCACCTGAGTCAAGTGTGAAGGTGTACAAGGCCTCAGCATGCGCAGTACCAAAGAGAGCAGACTCACCAGCACCTGGAGCAGCAGCCTCACCAGCACCCAGAGCAGGAGACGCACTAGCACTTAGAGCAGCAGCCTCACCAGCACCAAAAGCAGCAGGCTCTATACCTGGGTCAGGCGGTACGCACAGGTAACAGGTACGGTCAGCACTAGTAGGCAATGCATACATGGCAGTGAGAATAGCATCATAGTCAAGAGCAAATATATCTACCCTCTGCCCAAGCAGCTCCACCCAGTCGGGGAGCTCAGCCTCGTCGCCAAACTCGGTACGCCAGGCGTCGCTCAGACGGGCGAAGCAGCGGGACTGGGTGTGACTAAGCGTCCCGCAAGTCTGACCCGTCCGATCACCTGTGCGAATGTCGTACGGGCAGCGAACGGTACTCAAAGACCCTCTACTCTGAGCGTACCACTCGTGAAGCTGCTGGGACGTAAGTGTCTCGCGTGGACGCCGCTGCAGCTGCAGCTGGCCACTGCCAGACGCTCCCAACTGACCAGCTCCAGGGCGACAGCTACGACGACTACCGCCACAACCCCAACTAGCGTACCACTCACGAAGCTGCTGGGGCGTGAGAGACTCGCGCGGACGTCGCTGGAGCTGCATCTTGCCACCGCCAGTACCAGTAGCAGTAGCCTAGCAGAGCAGGCGTGGCAGGCAGGCAGGCAGACAGGCAGGCAGGCAGGCACGCAGGCAGACAGGCAGGCAGGCTGGCAGGCTGGCAGGCAGGCAGGCAGGCAGATGGCGCGGCAGCGCGCTAACAAGGCAGGTGCTCACCAGTGGCGGGAAGAGCAGGCGCTCGCCGGGCGAGCAGGGCCGGCGCTCGGCGGGCGGCTGCACGGGGTCCAGGGGCGGCGTCGCGGGTCCAGGGGCGGCGTCGCGGGATCCAGGGGCGGCTGCACCAGGGGCGGCTGCTTCAGGGGCCAGGGGCGGCTGCTCTGGGTCCAGGGGCGGCTGCTCGAGGGTCCAGGGGCGGCTGCACCAGGGGCGACTGCTTCAGGGGCCGGGGGCGGCTGCTCCAGGGGCGGCTGCTGCAGGGGCCAGGGGGGGCTGCTCTGGGTCCAGGGGCGGCTGGACCAGGGGCCAGGGGCGGCTGCTCGGGGTCCAGGGGCGGCTGCTCCAGGGGCGGCTGCTGCAGGGGCCAGGGGCGGCTGCTCTGGGTCCAGGGGCGGCTGCTCGAGGTTCCAGGGGCGGCTGCACCAGGGGCGGCTGCTTCAGGGGCCAGGGGCGGCTGCTCTGGGTCCAGGGGCGGCTGCTCGAGGGTCCAGGGGCGGCTGCACCAGGGGCGGCGTAGCTGGTGCAGGGCAGCGCGCGGGTCCCACAGGCGCCGCGACTGGCGACGGGGGGGCAGCGCGCAGGCCAGGCGGGGCCGCGTCGGCGGCAGGGTGGGGCCGCGACCGCGGCAGGGCGAGGCCGCGTCGGCGGCCGTAGAAAGCAGCGCGAGGGCTGCGAAGCGACGCGCGGGGCAGGAGAAGGCAGCGCGGGGGCTGCGGGGCGGTGCGTGGGCCTGACAGGGCAGCTAGCGGGCTACGCGCGGGGCTGACGAGGCAGCAGGCGGGCTGCTAGCGGGCTGTACGAGGGCCAGCAGAGGCGAGCGCGAGGGCTGCGCGACGCAGGGCAGTGTAGGCAAGGGGCGGGGTAACTCGGTAACCGGCGGAAAACGGTTGGTGGGCCCTGAAAAACAGTCCTAAAACGGTCCTAAGGACCTATGTTGCTCTTAATACCATGTCGAGAGTAAAGGGAAAAAGTTGGTGCACTATCGAGAAAGTTGGGTACAAGTAACAAAAAACTATACCCTACATTAGCTACCCCACTAAAGCCTACATTCTATTATGACATAGGCATATAATTTGACAGAGTTGTGGGGGGAAGAAGGCAGAGGGGCAATGCAATAGTCAGATGGGGAGAAAGGGAGGAGGTTGACAGGCATGAGTGTGGTGTGGTGAAGAGAGTTGCTGCTAGCACCAGCACAGGCATGAAGGAGATCCGAGTGGCAGTGAGTATCACCTGCTGCCCCGAGTCTCACCTGCACCGAATCTCACCTGCCCCGAGTCTCACCTGCACCGAATCTCACCTGCCCCGAGTCTCACCTGCACCGAATCTCACCTGCCCCGAGTCTCACCTGCCCCGAGTCTCACCTGCCCCAAGTCTCACCTGCACCGAATCTCACCTGCCCCGAGTCTCACCTGCCCCGAGTCTCACCTGCACCGAATCTCACCTGCACCGAATCTCACCTGCACCGAATCTCACCTGCCCCGAGTCTCACCTGCACCGAATCTCACCTGCCCCGAGTCTCACCTGCCCCGAGTCTCACCTGCCCCAAGTCTCACCTGCACCGAATCTCACCTGCCCCGAGTCTCACCTGCCCCGAGTCTCACCTGCACCGAATCTCACCTGCACCGAATCTCACCTGCACCGAATCTCACCTGCACCGAATCTCACCTGCACCGAATCTCACCTGCCCCGAGTCTCACCTGCACCGAATCTCACCTGCCCCGAGTCTCACCTGCCCCGAGTCTCACCTGCCCCAAGTCTCACCTGCACCGAGTCTCACCTGCCCCGAATCTCACCTGCCCCGAGTCTCACCTGCCCCGAGTCTCACCTGCCCCGAGTCTCACCTGCCCCGAGTCTCACCTGCCCCGAGTCTCACCTGCCCCGAGTCTCACCTGCCCCGAGTCTCACCTGCCCCGAGTCTCACCTGCCCCGAGTCTCACCTGCCCCGAGTCTCACCTGCACCGAATCTCACCTGCCCCGAGTCTCACCTGCCCCGAGTCTCACCTGCCCCGAGTCTCACCTGCCCCGAGTCTCACCTGCCCCGAGTCTCACCTGCCCCGAGTCTCACCTGCCCCGAGTCTCACCTGCACCGAATCTCACCTGCCCCGAGTCTCACCTGCCCCGAGTCTCACCTGCCCCGAGTCTCACCTGCCCCGAGTCTCACCTGCCCCGAGTCTCACCTGCCCCGAGTCTCACCTGCCCCGAGTCTCACCTGCCCCAGCACAGTGAGTATGAGGGAGACCCCCGGCAGGAAGTACTGATCGCTGATTCCCAGAGAGCGTTATGAGAGAACAGTCACCGCAGCTCTCACCTGCCCCAGGTCCCACCTGCTGTCTCACCTGCCCCAGGTCCCACTTGCAGTCTCACCTGACCCAGCACGGTGAGTATGAGGGAGTCCCCCAGCAGAAAGTACTGATCGCTGATTCCCAGAGAGCGGTTCAGACCGGTGACAAGGAGTAGCTGAGACGAGAGGGGCATACATGGGGAAGGGGGGAGAGGAATGAGAAGGAGGGGGGAAGAAATGAGGGGGCATATGTTGGGCGGCTAGCATGAAAGGGGTCATTGTGAGGCCCTCGCTCGCCACCATGAGACGGCATGTACCATTTCAGGTAGAAGCCAGAGGAAACTCTGGCGGAGGCCGCCAGAAGTTGAACAGCCCCACCCTTGCCAGGGAGGCAAGCGGTGGTTGTTACCGTGTCTAAGGTACCCCAATGGATGAACCTGGGAGAATTGCTCTCTTTGCCTCACCTGCGTTGAGCCCAGAGGAACAGCTTCCTGAGAGGTACTTCCTTCAGGTAGAAGATGAACACACCGACCCCTGCCCTGCCAGGGAGGTGAATGATCCGTCACCTTATTGCTGCCTTTTATAAGCCAACCCACGAACGTACTTGTGTTGAGCCCAGGAGTGCTCCAGCGATGTTGGTCCAGAGGAACAGCTTCCTGAGCGGCACCTCTTTGAGGTAGAAGTTGAACACCCCCACCCCCGCCAGCGAGGCCAGGGCTGTCACGAGACGGACGCGACCCAGGAACTCAGGGCCAAAGCCCAGCTCGTTGGTGCTGCAGTGGGAAAGGAGGGGGCAGGGGCGAGAGGAGGGGAATGCGTGCTTTTGAGTGGCGTTTGGGCAGCCCTAAACAGCTGCCTGCGAGGCCAGGGCCGTCACGAGGCGCACGCGGCCCAGGAACTCAGGGCCGAAGCCCAGCTCGTTGGTGCTGCGGTGGAAGAGGGAGGGCGAATAGGGGGAGAGGCGGGAGAGGAGTGGGGTTTAAGTGTGTGCTCATCGTGGGTGGTTTTTTGGGCACCTCAAAACACTCGCCTGGGTGATTTGAGGTGAGGGCGGTCACGAGACGGAAGCGACCCAGGAACTCAGGGCCAAAGCCCAGCTCGTTGGTGCAAAGGGCGAGAGGGGAAAGGGGGGGAGGGAGGGGGGGGGAGGGGGGGGAGGGGGGTTGTGCAAGAGTATGGGCTTTCAAAGAGGCTCGAGGCAGAGAGGAGAGGGCGGTCACGAGTCGCACACAGCTCAGGAACTCAGGGCCGAAGCCCAGCTCGTTGGTGCTGAAGGCGAGAGGGGCGGGAGTATTAAGGTTTGAGTGAGCGTTATGATGGGTGGTGCTAGGGGGCTGCAAAACACTCGCCCAGAGTAGCTTGAATCGAGGGCTGTCACGAGGTGGACGCAGCCCAGGGACTCAGAAAGAAGAAGGCAAACCTCATAGCTACACTCCCATTGACCCCCGTTAACTTCCATTGACCCCCGTTGACTTCCATTGACCCCCGTTAACTTCCATTGACCCCCGTTGACTTCCTGTTGACCCCTGTTGACTTCCCATTGACCCACGTTAACTTCCCATTAACCCCCATTGACTTCCATTGACTCTCGTGAAAAAGAACATGGCAGTCTCGGAGTGGGGCGTGGCCTGCCAGAGGAAGATGAAGGCAGAACCGCATGCCTACCCATGCCTGCACCCCTGTTGACCCACATTGACTTGCATTGAATACCATTGACTCACGTGAAGAAGAACATGGCAGTCTCAGAGTGCGGGGTGGCCTGCCAGAGGAAGATGAAGGTGGTGGGCAGCAGAATGGCCGGCTGCCGAATGGTCTCCCACAGAAACACCACCTGTCCCCACGCCCACGCCCACGTCTCCCTTGCTCCGCCCCCTGCTGCTACCACTCCCACCCCTCCTCCTTCCACTCCTCCCACTGCTCCTCCTTCCCATCCTCCTTCCCCTACTCTGTCTCCTCCTTTTTCTCGGCCTTCTCCTAAAATTTCAAGCTCTCCCCCAATCCCTCTTGCTGCTGTGCCAGTGGTTGTACTATCCTTGTTGGTGGTAACCCTAGTGCTTGTGGTAACTCTCTCCTCTGGGACGTAGAATCCGACAGCAGTGGTGATGAGAGGCAGCAGGGCTGTCACTCCGAACACAAACCTGGATGGGAGCAAAGGGGGGTGGTGAAGTACGGTTGAGAACGGTGTGGAAGCAGGGTAGACGATGAAGGGAAGCAGGGAAGTTATGGCATTTGAAGGAGAAGGAGAAGGGGAAAATGCAGCAGAAATGAAGGAAAAGTCAGCAGAGGAGGGATGAGACTGGAGGGGATGAATGATGCATAAAACAGATGAGGACAAAGGCAGGGTGCCACACTGAAATATAAGACTCGTTCTCTCTCTCACAACCACACCTTGCACACGCCCACACTCACCTTGCACACGCCCACACTCACCTTGCACACGCCCACACTCACCTTGCACACGCCCACACTCACCTTGCACACGCCCACACTCACCTTGCACACGCCCACACTCACCTTGCACACGCCCACACTCACCTTGCACACGCCCACACTCACCTTGCACACGCGAGATCCAGACATAGCTCAGTGAGCACACTCACCTTGCACACGCCCACGCTCACCTTGCACACGCCCACGCTCACCTTGCACACGCCCACGCTCACCTTGCACACGCCCACGCTCACCTTGCACACGCCCACACTCACCTTGCACACGCCCACGCTCACCTTGTGCCGTAATTCTCTATCAGCGAGCCGCTGAAATACGCAGAGAGCACAGCCCCCACTGCTGACGACCCCCAACACAGTGACTGCAGCCCGCCTGATGTGGCCTGTGACTCGCCCCTCGCCCTCTGCACCACCATGGAGTCCACCACCTGGGGACGGAATGGAGAGGAAAGAGGGGGAGAAGAAGGGGAGTGCAGGTGTGAAGGACATAGAAGACAGCAGGAAGATGGAGTGATAGGAGTGAAGGATGGGGTGCTACCGACCCGTGTTGACACACACCACACGGCATAGCGCCACGGCTCACCACATGGCACCACATGGCACCACATGGCACCACTCACCACGTCAGAGACAGCAGCAGAGAACGAGGAGAGCAGGATCATGGCCACAGCGGAGTACTTATCCCCCACCACCGATGCCAGCGCACCCCACGCCACAGACCCCAGCAGCCCACACGCGACCAGGTAGGAGCGACTGCGGTAGCCATAACACACCGCACAGCACCGCATAACACCACTCACCACGTCCGAAACAGCAGCAGAGAGCGAGGAGAGCAGGATCATGGCGACAGCAGAGTACTTATCCCCCACCACCGATGCCAGTGCACCCCAGCAGGCCACAGGCGACCACACCATACAGCACCGCACAGCACCACTCACCACATCCGAAACAGCAGCAGAGAGCGAGGAGAGCAGGATCATGGCGACAGCAGAGTACTTATCCCCCACCACCAATGCCAGCGCACCCCACGCCACAGACCCTAGCAGCCCGCATGCCACGAGGTAGGAGCGCCGGCGGTAGCCAAAGAGAGGGATGCCGTCACTGATGAATCCGTAGATTGGCTTAATGAGCCACGGGAGAGAGGAGAGACCTGACAGCACCGCTACCTGAGGGGAGATTATGGGGAAGGCACAGGAGTTGGGGGAGATTATGGGGAAGGCTCAGGAGTTGGGGGTGATTAACAGAGCAAGAGACCCCAACAGCCCACAGGCGACGAGGTAGGAGCGCCGGCGGTAGCCAAAGAGAGGGATGCCGTCGCTGATGAATCCGTAGATGGGCTTGATGAGCCACGGGAGGGAGGAGAGACCTGATAGCACCGCCACCTGGAGGGAGGGGTTGTTTGAGAAGTAGAGGAATAAGGGAGGGTTGCATGATTGTTAGGCGGCTTCATGAAACAAAGGATGGACGAGAGGAGAGGACTGATTGGACTGCCAAGTGAAGGATGGAGAGAGGGGAAAGGGGGGGGAGGGGGAGGGGGGGAAGAGACGGTTAGTGTGCAGCAGCACAGTGCTCGCATGTAAATGCCATGCCATGCTCTGCACACTTGTATGAATCACAGCATCTTTCCCACGCACCTCAGCAGGGTCGAGCCCAAAGTCGTCTTTGAGCAAGCAAGTAACAGCAAGGCGAGCCAGCCCCAGCACGCCCTGCACGAATTACACACTGACAATCGCCACCACCTCTGGCGAGACCAGCACTAGCCCAGCAGAGCGCTCACAGGCACATGTAGAGAGACGCACGCACCTCAGTGGGGTCGAGCCCGAAGTCGTCTTTAAGGAGAAAGGTGACAGCAAGGCGGGCCAGCCCCAGCACACCCTGCACGAAGTACACACTCGCCATCGCCACCACCTCTGGCGAGACAGCCCGCGCTCACAACAGTGGGCGTATGGAGATACACACTCACCCACCCCACCCCCCCCCCCCCACACACACACACACCTCACCTCAGCAGGGTCAAGCCCAAAGTCGTCTTTGAGCAAGAAGGTAACAGCCAGGCGGGCCAGCCCCAGCACGCCCTGCACAAAGTACACACTTGCGATCGCCACCACCTCTGGCGAGACAGCGCTCGCCCTCTCCGCCACCCACGCAGGCACATCCGCGGAGAGCACGTGGAGAAACTGCTGCGGGGGTGCGGAGATTCCTTCCCCTGGTGTATATTGAGTGCTTGGTGGTGCATGTTCCGCTGCTGTCCGTGAGTCCGCTCCATGCGAACGAATATCCCGTTCTGCTTCGCCCTTCTCCGCCTGTGACGCGTCTGCTGAAGTCGCCTGCTGCGGCTGCTCCTGCTCTTGCTCGTGCTCGTGTGCTTTGTGCTTGTGCTTGCGTGGTGGTACGTCAGGAAACGCTTCTGCAGGTGGGTGGGAGAGGAGAGGAGAGGGGGGAAAGAGGTGGGGGATGCAGGGAATGAAGGGAATGACACGAGGGATTGACAAGCATTGCCGTGGGCTCCCTAAGACTTGAAATTGCGTTTTGAGACGTCTGGGGGATGCAGGGACTGGAAGGAATGACATGAAGAATTGATATGTCATTCAGTGGGCTCCCTTAGACTTGAAATTGCAAATCAGGGAGGCCAAAAATGATAGGTCGTGCCGTCTGTGCTGGCTTTCTCCGAGCCAAGAAAACGGACCCGCAAGTTTGTGAAACCGGGTTACCTCATAACCACACCTCGGATGTCGTCGCCTTCGATGACCGACTTCGCACGGCAGCTGAATCGTCTCCTCCGCGATTGTTGACTTGGAAAATCCCGGCAGCCGAATTCCACGGTCCGCGATTGCCGAGTGAGGAAACCGTGGTGAGACGAAATCCGGTAAGATTGATGTGACTGATGAGATTGATTATTATACTGATAAGCACGAGGAGACGGGGCGAGTGGTTGCCGATTGGTACAAGAACTACTCAGTGCCAAACCACCGCAGGTTGAAAGGCCTGCTGCGACGAGCTCAGTCATGTCTCCGGAATACACTCCGCTGTAGCGGAAGTCCAGCGGACGCGGTGTTTATTAGATCAAGGATATACGGCTTACGAAATAGCTGCACGAACCGCACGGAGTGATTAGATGGTTCTGTTTCAGAGTTCTAAAAGAACCTCGATTGAGTAACTGTTAGAATCTGACCAGACTAAAGCGGCCTCAGCTTTGTGCCTAGAAATGGGGCGATGAGTGCGCCCATCCCCTGTAAACGAGCATTGTCAATGCGGGATGTCCAGAAACTTTTGTTTTGATGCGGCTGAATGAGATTCTTTACGTTTTGGAGATCGAACATAAATATCGAGAACGGTGAAATAGGGTCCTCAACAATGATGAACCTTTGTCCCACTTCCAAATGGGAGACAACCTGGCTGCCTCACTAATTGCTCCTTGATTGGTTGTATTCGGCGGTCATGGACACGTGGCATCGTTTCGTACTGCACGATGAATCTGGGTCTCCACAACAGGGAAGAGAATATCCTTGTTATACTACATATGAGAGTATTCTACAGTGCCTACTTGAGAAACTGAATTACTAGATTTCAGTAAGTTCGTGGTGTTATGTTGCTGCATGTTCAGGAAGCTGTGCCATTCAAGAGCGTTTAGACGCCTGTATCTCATGCATTACCAACGGAAGTGGCGGCATGGCGTCTGGTTCAGGCGTTCGGCGCATCGGACAGTCTCTCCTAGCAGCATCTCCGTCCTTCATACGCTCTTCTTTCCATGAATCGCAACGCGATCCTGGCCTCGTAATCGCTTTCCGAGGACACTCCGTGCAGCAACACACGCATTCCTGTAGCCGCGGCATCTCGAGTTCCTTACTTACCCACGATGCGGTTCAGCGCCCGTTCCCGTCACGAACGCCACCTTCTCACCATGTATCGTCCTGGCTCATGTGCGTTCCAACGACCCGTCACGATCACCGGCAATTACAATCGATTATATCAGCAACCCAACTCGGCCGACCAACGATCCACGGTCCAGATCTCTCTTCCGCATCGGCAGCCGTCGTTCCCGTCCGCTCTCTCAATATCTTCACTGTTTTCCGAAAGGAATCGCGAGATAAAGAGATAGAACGCTTGAAGGACGAGTTAAACCGCGGATACTTCGACGATTTTAAGGAGCTCAAGGAAACTGCCGGGAAATTGGGCCCTGCACCTACCTCGTCGCCACTTCCAGCCGCTGGAGCCGCGGTGTTTCCGCAAATCACGGGAACCACGTCAGCGAAGGCATCAGTGGAGCTGCCTCTCGATCTGCAGGGTGACGCGTGTCGAGTGGTTCTGGTCTGCGTGGCGTTCCGTGCAAACGCTCAGGTATTTATTCCCGATCCACTTGCCGCTAATCTTCAGGTGGAGACAGGCAGCAGTATCTCACAGAGGCATGAAATCTCCCTCCCTGCCTTTCGTGAAACAGCCTACTGACGGTCTTCTCTTGTGGAAAGCTCCCCCTTGACTTCACTGATGTCACTGCAAACCCTCACTCCCAACTCACTGCCATCAAACTCTCAGACTAACTTGCTTCAAATCCAATTTTCTCCTTTCTGTTCCTTGCTTCAGGGCATGGTGGAATCATGGCTGAAACCCTTTCTCCAGCACGCCTCCAGCAGCCCATCTTCTGCTGATTCCTCACCTTTAACCCCATCCCTCACGTCCGCACCAAATTCCGCCGCACCCGACTCCTCTCAACCCTCGGATAGCCCACCCCACCGCTTTCCATCGGGCTCTGTGCGCGCGGTGCACATCTCGTGGATCGAGTCATGGCTGCTGTCGACACGACCCATTCGATCCTGGCTGCTCAGCAGCTTGCGTGGAGCTGAGGCCAAGCAGCACGCACGCCTGGCAGATGCTGCTGATTCAGAGGGCGTTGATGGGGTGTTGACAAATGTGTATGCATTTGGTGATACATGGGAGTTCAGAAAGAAACTGGGCATCGTAAACAGGCTCACAGGGTGAGTGCCCCTTTGCACCTACTTCGTCCGCTGAGGGGGTGAGTCTTCCTTTCTGCCTGATTGTACGTCGATTTTCAAATCAGGCTTTTATAACTCCACCATAATGCTGGCTTCTTCGTGTTTTGCTCTGCTCTGTTGTCCTCTTACTTGCAGTTATGCATTCCTCGTGGATGCCAAAGGTCGTGTTCGGTGGCGTGCTTCAGGAACAGCCTCTGATGAAGAAATATCTTGTATGCTTTCTGCAACCCATAAACTCATGAAAGAATGACACCATGAGCATTTCATACTGAAAAAAAAGAGAATGGGAAAATGAACTACAAAAAAAAAAAATCACTTAAGACTTTAAATACTTATGTCAGGATGGCCGAGTTGGTCTAAGGCGCCAGTTTCAGGTACTGGTCCGAAAGGGCGTAGGTTCAAATCCCACTCCTGACATGAGGTGCCTAAACTTTTCCTCTATCCTCTGCCTTTTCTCGTTCCCTTATCTTACCTCATCCACCTTTACGCCGATGACTCATACCTAATGGGACCCCCGCACCGCCTTGTAGGAGTCTTCACCGCCCTGCAGCAGCAGCTTACAGAGCTTGGCCTCAGTGTGCAGCCCGCGAAATGTCAGGTGTGGGCACCGCAGGGATGGCCGGACAAGATTCAGCTGCCTCCTGGTATCGCTCTCCAGGACAAGGGCATCATCGTTGCACGGGTTCCTGTAGGCGAGCCAGATTTCATCACTGCTGAACTACGCAAACGGCTGGCCTCCCTCAGAACTGCAGCCCCTTGGCTCCCTCGCCTTGAAACCCCGCAAGTTGCTGCCCACCTACTGACCATCTGCCTTTCAGCGAAACCCTCTTACCTTCTCCGTACAGTACCCCCAACCGAGGATGTTTTAGAACAGTATAGTGACTGGGACAATCATGTTTTGGAGTGTCGGCGCCTTTGTTGCTGTACTCGAACTTCTGCTTTCCAAGTTTCTTGGTCAAGTAATCTGTTGCCATCTCGGATGTGGGGCAGTAGGATAGCTCAAGTATTCCTTTCTCGATCTTGTCTTTCACGAAGAAGTATTGCAGGGTGATGTGCTTCGTCCGGTTCGCGAACCCGTTCTTGTTCGCTATGCGAATTGCAGATTGGTTGTCGCAGAAGAGGGAGAAGCTGGGTAAATGGGCCAGTTTTGCTTCTTCCAGTAGTTCGCGAAGGTACAGTCCTTCCTTGGTGGCCGAGTAGAGTGCAATGTATTCTGCTTCAGCTGAGGAGAGAGCAATTAGCTCTTGCTTGCTCGACTGCCACGAGATAGGACCGACGGGCTCAAGTCGATAGATGTAACCGGTGCGCGATCGCCTGCTGTCAGAGTCGCCTGCGAGATCAGCATCCACGTAGCCGATTAGCTTTGGAGTTGTGGTTCCGGTTTTGTGGTAGGTTAGGCCGATCGTTGGTGTGCTGACGAGGTAGTGTAATGCGCGATCGAGTTCCGCCATGTGCTCTGCTTCGGGCCGCTTGAGGTAGGTAGCGAGTTGGCTCGCTGAGTACGATAAGTCTGGTCGACAGGTGACGGCTGCGAAGAGCAAACATCCTAGCTTTCGCTGGTGATCGCACAGGCCGGCAGGTCCGAGCGGGGTAGATTCTTCCTTGTGATTTCCCGCGGTGTAGCGATATGGTGTGGAGATGGCGGCTGGTGTTAATCCGAAGCGTTTTGCGATGGTGTTGGCATATTTTACAGCGCTGAGGTAGATCGCGTTCTCTCCGTCAGGTATGTTGAGTCCCAGGTATTGGGTTACGGTGGAGGAAACCGTGAGTGAGAGATCCTGTTGCAGCTCCCCTTCAAACCAGGTGGTGATGCCGTCGGTGGAGCCTATGTAGAGCAGATCGTCTACGTACACGATCAGAAGGATGTACTCAGCATCCTTCGTGAGTCTGTACATTCCCTGGTCGTGTGGTAGTTGCTGAAAGCCGATGCGGATTAATCGGGAGTGCAGGTACTGCTGCTACAGTCGTGGGGCTTGCTTGATGTCGTACAGTGACTTCAGTAGTTGACAGACTTTATTAGGGTCTGTGACGGATCCGTGCGGCTGTTCGATGAAGATTTTTTGCATCGACGGGAGCGTAGAGGAATGCGTTGGCCACGTCGGTTTGGCGGAGCTTCTTCCGCTTCATGACAGCTATCGCGAGAGGAATTCGTAGCGAGGTATGTCGGCTGACCGGCGTGAAAGTTTCGGTGAAGTCCCGTCTGTGCTCTTGGTCGAAACCACGCACGTCCCATCGTGCTTTGAACTTGTCGATTGTTCCGTCTGCCTTTGTTTTTACACGGAAGACCCACTTTCCCGTGAGTATGGTCTTGTTGTGTGCTACTCCGATGGGTACTATCTTTCAGGGGTTTCTGTCTTCCAGCGCCTTTAACTCCCTGTCCATGGCTTCGCGCCATTTCTCCCTGTGCTCCCCCCCCCCAGAGCCTGCTGCACCGTAGTAGGCTCTCGCGGGGGCGATGCTCCATGGACTGAGGTGACGAGGCCGAGAATTTGCAGTCCACTCTGTGTGCGTCGGGGAAGACTTGGATCCTCAGGATAGACTGTTTTGTCTCCTGCTTCTGGATCATGTATGAAATTGGGTCCTATGCATTCAGAGATGTTGGTGTTGACGGGTTGGGGTGTAACGTAACCGTTGTCGGCGAAGTCGTAGTAGACTTCGGCGTTGACACTTTCGCGAGGGTTTTCGTCATCCATTGGAACGGGCACCGAACAATAGGGCAAAGGTCCGACTTCCTCCGATGCTCCGTCCACGTTTTGCTCGTCCCACTCAGCCTCATCTGCTGGCAAGGCAAAGGCTCGGTTGCCACGAAAGCCACCCGTGAGGTCTCGTTTTGCTGCCAGGTTGTCCAGGTACGTTTGGAGGGTGAGTCGTTCGTAGAAAATCACGTCACGTGCTGCTACTGTTTCCTTCGAGTGGACGTCGAAGATCTTCCACAAGTTGTAATGTTTTTCGATGCCCAGGTGTAGCCCCCACTGTGCGCGTTGTGAGAATCGGCCAGCTCGTGCAGTGTGGGGTCGGTACTGTACCATGCAGCCAAAAACCCGTAGCATTTTTGTATTTCCCAATTTTCCTGTCCACAGTAGATGCGGTGATGCGTTGTTCGGAAGCGAGGATGACGAAAGCAAGTTGTGTAGCAGTACAGCGTGGTCCATCGCCTCGGGCCACTGATGGTTGGGTAGTCGCATACCACGTAGCAGCTTGCGCATGGTGTTGTGGGGGGTCCTGTTCATCCTTTCTGCGACACCTTGCTGTTGATGGGCGTATGGAAGAGAGATGAGTCGCTTGATGCCTCTCTCCGCTAGGTATTGCTTGAACCTCTGTGACTGGTATTCTCATCCCCCGTCTGACTGAAAACTCTTTAGCTTTACTCCGGACTCCCTTTCCGCTACTGGGAGTGTGAGAATATTGACGAGAGAAATTGAAGTGAGAAAGGAATGGTTGAACTAGAAAGCAGTTGGATACATATAACAAACCCTAATAGGGTTGTACTCACTACAGAGTACCCCACTGCAGACTAGAGAAACATAATGTTCTGACACACCCCCATAGTCAAAGTGGGGTATGATCAGCACAAGGAGCAAGGCAAAGCAAGCTCAGGGTGGATCACAATGTCACCACACATTCTGAGCACAAGTACAAGAAGTAACAGTTTAAAGTTCACAATAAATAAGCAAAGCTAGAGGCTATCACAGAGGGCAAGTGAGGAGGAGGAGGCTGGACTAATAGGAGAGGAGAGAGGAGGCAACGGCGGAAGCTGCAAACACACGGGCAACAGGAGCGGCGCGCACTGTGGCTACCGGAGGCGCACCTCCGGACTACAGGGGTAACTGGCTCCGCGGCTAAGACGAGCGGCAGGAGCAACGGACCCACGGGCGACTGGCGCAGCGGCATCACTGGGCTACCGGAAGCGCACCTCCGGACTACTGGCACTGCTAGCAACACGACGGCTACCTCCACCCAACCTCCCTCTACTCCCGCACCCCCCCCATTCACACACCCCCTGCTGCACCCCTAGGTTCACTCACACTCCACCCCCTAGCACCACTCCGTCGACTCACACACACCCACCCCCCTCAGCGGCAGCTGCAGCAGTGGGAGACGGAGTAGGAGGAGGAGCAGGGGATGCCACACACCCGCCACCCCCATACCCTCCCCCACTGCTGCACCTGCAGCAGGGGATGGAGGAGAAGGAGGGAGGGGGGGGGGGTGCTGTGCATGGCGCTTGCAGAGGGCAGCAGGGCGCACGGGGCGCACGGGGCAGCAGGGCAGCAGGGCGCACGGGGCGCACAGGGCAGCAGGGCAGCAGGCGCACGGGGCGCACAGGGCCGCAGGGCGCGCGGGGCGCAGCAGGGCCGGCGGGTTGGCCACACCCGCCACCCCCATACCCTCCCCCACTGCTGCACCCGCAGCAGAGAGATGGGGGGGGGGGGGGGGGCGGGGGGGGGCAGGCAGGTGCTGCAGGTCCCCTCCCCCCACTGCCGCATCCGCACCAGGGGGATGGCAGATCCCCTCCCCCCCACTGCTGCACCCACAGCAGGGGGAGGGAGAGGAGAAAAGAGACGGAGAGGAGGAGGGGGGGGGGGCTGGTGCTGCAGGTCCCCTCCCCCCACTGCCGCAACCGCAGCAGGGGGATGGCAAATCCCCTCCCCCCACTGCTGTACCCGCAGCAGGGGGGGGGGGGGGGGGGGGTGCTGTGCATGGCGCGTGCAGAGGGCAGCAGGGCGCACGGGGCGCACAGGGCAGCAGGGCGCGCGGGGCGCAGCAGGGCCGGCGGGTTGGCCACACCCGCCACCCCCATACCCTCCCCCACTGCTGCACCCGCAGCAGAGAGATGGGGGGGGGGGGGGTGGCGGGGGGGGGCAGGCAGGTGCTGCAGGTCCCCTCCCCCCACTGCCGCATCCGCACCAGGGGGACGGCAGATCCCCTCCCCCCCACTGCTGCACCCGCAGCAGGGGGAGGGAGAGGAGAAAAGGGGCGGAGAGGAGGAGGGGGGGGGGGCTGGTGCTGCAGGTCCCCTCCCCCCACTGCCGCAACCGCAGCAGGGGGATGGCAAATCCCCTCCCCCCCACTGCTGTACCCGCAGCAGGGGGGGGGGGGGGGGGGGGGGGGGGGGCTGTGCATGGCGCGTGCAGAGGGCAGCAGGGCGCACGGGGCGCACAGGGCAGCAGGGCGCAGCAGGTGCTGCAGGTCCCCTCCCCCCACTGCCGCATCCGCACCAGGGGGACGGCAGATCCCCTCCCCCCCACTGCTGCACCCGCAGCAGGGGGAGGGAGAGGAGAAAAGGGCGGAGAGGAGGGGGGGGGGCTGGTGCTGCAGGTCCCCTCCCCCCACTGCCGCAACCGCAGCAGGGGGATGGCAAATCCCCTCCCCCCCCACTGCTGTACCCGCAGCAGGGGGAGGTAGGAGAAGGGTGGGGGACCTGGTGCTGCAGATCCCCTCCTGCCTCCCCCTGGACCTCCAAGCTTCCCCCCCTTCTCCCCGCCATCCCCATGGAAGGGGGGGGGGGGGGGGGGCGGCTGCTCCAGGGGCCAGGGGCCAGGGGCGGCTGCTGAGGTCAAGGAGCGGCTGCACCAGGGGCGGCTGCTCCAGGGGCGGCTGCACCAGGGGCGGCTGCACCAGGGGCGGCTGCTCCAGGGGCTGCTGCACCAGGGGCGGCTGCTCCAGGGGCGGCTGCACCAGGGGCGGCTGCACCAGGGGCGGCTGCACCAGGGGCGGCTGCTCCGACGCGTGGCCCCCCCCACCTGGTCGCCCCTCCCGTCGCCTGGTGAGGCGACCTGAGGGGGGGGGGGGGGGAGGAGGACGGGGGCCGACCCGCGGCCTCCCAGGGCGCCAGAGCAGGCGGAAGAAGGGGCGACGCGCGCCCCCCCAGGTCGCCCCTCCCGTCGCCTTGCGTGGCGAGCGGGGGGGGGGGGGGGGGCGGTGCACGGGCCCCTGGTGCGCCACGACCGGCATGAGGGCGGGGCCTGGGTCGGGGCAGGTCCGGGACAGGGCCAGGACGGGGCCGAGGAAGGGCCGGGGCGGGCCGCGAAGGGGCCTAACGGGCCGCGAAGGGGCCTAACGGGCCGCGAAGGGGGGCCGCGACGGACCTAACGGGCCGCGACAGGGTCGGGGCAGGGCCGGGGTCGGGGCAGGTCCGGGACAGGGCTGGGACGGGGCCAATACGGGGGGCCGCGACGGGGGCCTGCGACAGGGGGCCGCGACGGTGGGCCGCGACGAGGGGCCGCGACAGGGTCGGGGCATGGCCGGGGTCGGGGCAGGTCCGGGACAGGCCGCGAAGGGGCCGCGACGGGCCTAACGGGCCGCGAAGGGGCCGCTACCGGGCGTAAAGGGGGCCGCGAAGGGGCCTAACTGGCCGCGAAGGGGCCGCGACTGAGGCCTAACGGGCCGCGAAAGGGGGCCGTGATGGGCCTAACGAGCCGCGAAGGGGGCCTAACGGGCCGCGAAGGGGCCTAACGGGCCGCGAAAGGGGCCGCGACGGGCCTAACGGGCCGCGAAGGGGGCCGCGACGGGTCGTAAAGGGGGCCGCGAAGGGGCCTAACGGGCCGCAAAGGGGCCGCGACGGGGGCCTAACGGGCCGCGAAGGGGGCCGCTAAGGGTCGTTAAGGGCAGGCGCGACGCGCGCGACAGGCAGGTAAGAAAAATTTTTAGTGGTGGGCCCTTTGATCGAAATCGCTCTATACCATGTGAGAATATTGACGAGAGAAATTGAAGTGAGAAAGGAATGGTTGAACTAGAAAGCAGTTGGATACATATAACAAACCCTAACAGGGTTGTACTCACTACAGAGTACCCCACTGCAGACTAGAGAAACATAATGTTCTGACAGGGAGCCATGCGACGAAGGCTTCGAAGGCCATGTCGCGGCTTGGTAGGTTGAGATGCTAGACGTATCTGGTCGCAACGTCGATGAATGTTATCACGTAGTTGTAGGCTCCTTGTCCGCTTTCGCGAGTGTATAGTATGTCGTTGTAAACCTTCTCCAGTGGTGCGTATGCTGGCGCGCTCGGGTTGTGGTGAGAGACGAACGGTTGATGGGGTAATTCGGCTTCGGGGCAAGTAAAGCAGGTTCCACGGACTCGTTGAAGTTCTCTGCCGTCTGGTAAGAGTAGCGAGTCCTTGTCGAGAACTCCTGCTCTTATCGTGTTGTTCAGTGTCGTGTTGCTGGGATGTCCTAACCTTTGATGCCACAGTGATTCGTCGGCGCGATGTCCATCTGAACGTCTGTACAGGTCGGAGTTGGAGTAGAAGCCTGCAGTGATGTTGGCGCTTCTGTGGACGTCGCGTGGGGCGGGAGTCAACTGTTGAGCTGGATTCGGCGTGGAATCGTTGATGGGAGGTGGTGTTGTTGAAGGGCTGGCGATTGGGGTTGTTGTTGCTTCTGCTTCTGTGAATGTTGCTGCTGTTTCTGTTGGTGTTGCTTCTGCTTCTATCGGTGTTGTCTGCAAGATTACTACTAACGCCCTTGTCCGTTCTGCTTCACGTATAATCTGCGAGTACCAGAAGCCTCCGGGACTGAAGTCGGAGTTGAGATCCGGCGGGTGCGTCCAAGTGGTGAAGTTGACGATCGCGTCGCTGTCAGCAGTGCCTTGATCTGGAACGAAGTCAAGGACGAAGATGTTATTCTTCAGAATCGCATTTCCAATATAAAGTCCGCCCCTTCCGTGGAAAATTTTGAACTCCTGAGTGGTGCTGTCGGCTTCGAGGTGAACTCCCTTTGCCATGAGCTGGCTTTCGCTCAGTAAGTTGTAGCCGAGTCCTTCTACAATCAGAACTTTTGACATTTGCAGAATGATGTTTGTTTCGCGGGGCTGCAGCAGAACCACTCCTTGTCGTCGTGTTTGCAGGTTTTGGTTGTTGGCGACGGTTATCACGACTTCCCGGTTGAGGCGTTGTTCCCGTTGAACAAAGCGATTTAAAGAGCACATATGTTGTTCGCAGCAGCTGTCCACGAACCAAGTATCTTGACCGGACGGTTCGCTCTGTGCGATAGCCGCGTACGTCGGATTTGGTTCCAGCAATTCGCGACGAGGCGTGCTTTCGCCGAGCAGTTCTTCTGGTGAGTAAGTTGGTGGTGAACCAGTGATGCAGGAGTCCGTTCTTGCCATGCGGCTTATGATGTTTCTTGTTCCTCGTGCAGGTTGTGACGTTGTCGTTGAAAACGGCGTCTGGTTGGAAAGATGTGGTTGTGTTGAGGCCAGTTGATTGCTTGAAGGTCAAAGCTGACGTGGTGGCGGCGTTGATTGCTGTTAAATTGGGCAGTGAACACGAGAGTGTCCTGACGTTTGACAGAGGTGACAGAATGGTGGTACGTATCGTCTTGCTTGATGCTCGTGTCGTCGGTTGTTGTTGTTGCGCTGCTGGGTGTGGAAGGCAAACTCTGGCACTGATGTCCTTTTCTTGTGTCGTTCTTCGTGTAGGTCCATATCTTGTTGCTCGGCATGAATTTATGCGCAGAGGTTTGCTTCGGAGAGTCTTCCGTGGGTCCGGAGAATGGCCCGGGTGGAGCGCCACTGAGGATCAAGGCCTGCAATGACGACAGTGACGAAGGCGTCTTCAGACAGTGCTCCGCCACACCAAAGGAGTCTGTCGCGTAGACCACGGCATCGACTGATATAAGCCATTCCCTTTTCACCGGGTTGCATCTGGACTGTTGTCAATTGCGCCATGAGACGACTCTAATTCACGCTGTCGTTTGCTTGATATAGGTTCTTCAGATGGTTGTACGCGAGCTCGGTGGAGTTACCGTATCCACGATAAGTTCGGATGTTCTGCTGCTCGTTTGCCGTTAAGTTTCGAAGGATAATAGTGTACGCCATCAGTGTCTGATGCGTGTACTGTTGCTAATCGTACGGTGTCCCGTGCGTTGGATATGGCAGGGAATCGTCGAAGAAGCCAAGAATTTGAGCGCCTTCCATCATCAGCTCGAATTCGAAGGACCAGGTATAGAAGTCCTTCCCGTCGAATGGTGTTGACATTTGCAGTTTCAGCACGTGTGCGAATTATGACTGCAGCTGAAGTGCATCCAGTGTCTTCGTCTCTTGTCCAGGTGGAAGTCGATTCGGCATGAAGCTGTCAGAGCCGAGTTGGGGCTCATACGGTGTAAAGGTAGGCTGCTGGTTTCCGCGCGCAAAGGAGGAGCCATCAAGACTCATGAGAGTAATTCCGTTGTTGTTGTCGCTGTTGTTTGACTACGCAGATGCCGCTTTCTGTTGCTGTTCGTAGAATGACATGAAGGAGAAGAATTTCTCCATCATGCTTGGGTCGAAGCTGGTTGCTTGATTCGTAGGAGTTTCAGTAGACTCAGCAACTGGTCTTTGAGTTGTGCCTCCCTCTGTCTGTAGTCCAGAAGCTGGAGGTGGAGTGGGAGTAGTGCCGGGGGATCCAGTAGACGAGTTTCTTTCCTTTTGTGTTGCCATATCTTCTGTTGTTGTAGGAGGTTGAAAAGAGTTGAGTCTTGTCTTGCTAGCTCTCATACCATGTTGGGCTGAGAAAAGCCCTTAGGATCGTTTCAAGACTAAGACTCATAATGATGTATTAGCGGAAGCGTTTAATGAAGGCTGGTTGAACCACCTTGCACTGGTGTGTGAGAACAATATAAGTTGATTATAGCAAAGAGATACATGGCTTTATATGATTACACGAAATATGAAAGGTTTAACTAACCGCGGTTGTAACTGCTGTTGCGGTTCGATACAGCGACGACTCGGGTAACTGCTCAATAGCGAGTCAGTTATTTGTCCTTGCTGACGCGCTGCCTTTTTCAAGTCAAAGGTTTGCTGACCTTTGACCTTCGCTTCAACCTCTTACTACTGTCGCCTTGTCAACCGCTTCACTGTGGTTTGGTTGACTCGGTGTTGTTTCGCTGTGAGTCTGCTTCGACACCGTTCTTGTTATAGCGTTCGACACATCAGAAGCGCGAACTATATGTTTCCAACACCTCCCGCATCAGCACCACCTCCCTCCCGCATCAGCACCACCTCCCTCCCGCATCAGCACCACCTCCCTCCCTCTCCGCATCAGCACCACCTCTCTCCCTCTCCGCATCAGCAGCACCTCACTCCCTCTGCACATCAGCATCACCTCCAGTCCCCCCTAGCCTTGAAAAATCCCTAGCAGTGGGAGCGGTCCCCATCAGCAGCAGTGGCGCCACCACTCTTCCCTATCCAGGCTATCCCTTGCCCCTTCTCCTCCTCCCCCCCCCCCCCCCCCTCCCCCCCCCTTATCCCTAGTGCCCCCTGTCAGTCGGAGCGGTCCTTATCAGCAATAGCGCCGCCAGTGCTTTGGGCTTTCTCAGGGTCCAAACTTGCACTTTAACTAGACCACTTTGCACTAATTTAGGACCCATTGTACATATAAGTCCATGGACATAGGAACATTGTAATGTAAGTTTGGTTTAAGGCGCCAGTTTCAGGTAATGGTATGAAAGGGCATATTGTATGGCCCCGGATATAGGCGCCGACCGATTAAGGGCGCCGGCACTTCTATCTGGAG